GCGGGCCCGGGGCGGCGGGGCGGCGGGGCCCCGAGTGGACGGCCGGGGTAGAGTGGTCGGCGAGTGGACGGAGCCCTTTCGCCCTGCACTGCGGAATGCCCCTTCAGGGGCGGGGTCGGCTCTGCCCGGTTCTCCTCTGGGCCCCGCGCGCGTCCCGCCCCGAGTGATGTTCCGCGTCCGTCGGATGGCGGCTGTGGAGATAAACCTCCGGCCCCTGAGCTGGACCGGGGGAAGCGCGTCCGACGAGGGGGACGCGGCAGCACGAACCCACGCCTGGAGCCCTCTGCCGGCGCAGTCCCCTTGGGGCCGTTTGCACCCGCTCTTCTAGGGTAAACCTGCCCTGCAAGGGCAGGGTGATGGGCAGGTCTGTTGGGGCAAACTCGAGAGGAACTGTCAAGGTCTAGTGCCTTCTGTGACTCAGCATAAGCAGGTTTTCAGCTCCCCCGCATACTTTCATGTTGGTGTTCGAGCAGCTCAGAAATTGAAGGCTTGCTAGCTCAAATGACTAGCTGACTGAATTCGTTCCATGCCTTATGTGTTTTTTCATATAGTTTTTTTTTTCCTTAATGGAGGTACTGGGGCTTGAACCCCAGGACCTTGTGCATGCTAAGCATACGCTCTACTATTGAGCTATACCCTCCCCACACCATGTGTTTTTTCATTTTCGAATGTGTTTTATTTACTTTTCTTCCAGTTTTATTGAGATATAATAGACATACAGTACTGTGTAAGTTTAAGGTGGACAGGATAATGATTTGACTTACATTGTGAAATGATTTTCTCAAGTTTAGTGAATATACATAGATACAAAACTAAAGAAATAGAAAAAATATTTAGTGAATATCTCATAGATACAAAATTAAATAGAAAAAAGGTATTTTTCCTTTGTGATGAGAGCCCCTTAGGATTTATTCTCTTTCAAAGAGAACCTACAGCAGTGTTCACTACATTTACCATGTTGTACATTACATCACCAATAGTTATCTTATAACTGAAAGTTTGTACCATCCAATTTCCCCTTCCCTGACTGCCCTCCCCAATAACCACAAATCTAATCTCTTTTTCTATGACTTTGTTGTTTCTGATGTATAATCAACCTACAACACTATGTTAGTTCCTGGTACACAACAGAGAGGTTTGATATTTCTGTGCATTTCAAAATGCTCACCATGGTAAGTCTTACCATCATGCCTTCTGTATTACTAAATGAGTTAATAAGGGTAAAGTGCTTGAAATAGTCCCTGGTACATATTAAGCATCTTACGAGAAGTTTTTGTTATAATTCAGCCTGGCCCTGGGCTTCTACCTCCCCAAGCGTGAAAGTATACAGATCTCTCAGTAGGTGCGTGAGGGTGGGAGGAAAATCTTCCATTTTATACTCTGACTACTTTTCATGGCCAAACTTTACTTCCTTATCACCCACTCCTTGCACAGCCTGCTTCTCTTTGGCTCTACCCTTCCCTCGCCTGGAACTGGCCTTTGGAGATCAGTTATCTTCCTTGAACCCATCATGTTCCTTGATCTATGTGGCTCTAAGGTGTTTGAAATGCTCTTTCTGGAAAGACTTTTTTTTTTTTTGAGCTCCTGAAACACTCACATAATGTCGTCCATCTCTCCAAATGCACTTTCCCCAGTATGTTCTACAGCACTTTTGTCTCCAGCCTCGAAGTGTAGAAGCTTAGTCACAGCCTCTCCACACCTTCTCCTTTTGTAGGCTAATCTCTATGAAGACTTTGAGGGTCACCTCTCTATGGATGAGTTGGAAACATATATTCTAAAAGCAGATGGGTTGGGGGGATATAGCTCAGTGGTAGAGTGCCATGCTTAGCATGCACAAGGTTCTGGGTTCAATCCCCGGTACCTCATTAAAATAAATAAACCTGATTACCCTCAAAATAAATAAAATAAAAGCAGATGAACCCTGACTGCACCCTCTGACTACTCTGCACACTCTGTGGTCACAGCCCAAATTCTTATCACTTGGATTTGAGATGCCACCACCATTCTGCTGCCAATGTGTCATGCTTCCCTCTTTAAAAATTCCTCTTAAAGATGGATCAAAATATCTTTCTTTTTGCTTCACATTTGTTCAGTGGGGTACAGGTTGTGGGTTGGATACAGGCGGAACAAGAATGGCCTTGTGTTGATAATTGTTGAAGCCAGGTGACATGTGTGCTTGTGGGTGGGGGCTGTTAATTATATTTTTGTACTTTTGTAGATGTTCAAATTTTTCACAATAAAAATTGTAACTGTTTTCCTTTGTTCTTCCTTAGCACAGCTGAGACAAGCTTAAATTCTTTTTCTAAAAAATGTTCTAGATGCTAAGAGGTAACAAAATGGAAATGAACGGAGAAGCAACAAGGAAACATAAAAAAGGGGGGAAAACATAAAAGATTAGGGTTCTGCCTTAGCTCCTCACTCGTTCCCGGGGCTTCCAGGTGGCATTGTCCCTACATTCGCCTTGAAAGAGATTTGCAGTCTGGATGCAAAGGGCCGACAAGGCTTCCTGAGCAACTTGCCAGGACTCCCGACTTGCTATCCCTGATCCTGAGGACACCACCTGGGGACCCATCATGGACTTTTTATTCTCCTCTGCCTGGGCAGGTCCAACCCTGCAGGTGACGGTGAAGGCCAGGCAGTCTTCCTGGAATGCTGCCTCACAAGTGTCTGTCCCTTCCCCCTGTGCCAGCTTCTCTTCCAGCAGGGATGCTGAGGTGAGAAGAGGCGTGGCCATGGTGACCGTGTAGGTAGAGAAGCAGGAAGTGAGCTTACCTGCTGACTTGATCGGGTCAGAGGTTCTCAGATGCTGCCTCCGCAGGGACTGGTTGACCTGTTCAGTTTCTACTACATTTACGAGCCCCATCCTCGGAGACCTTTCCCTCTGCTGCAGTTAACTTCACTCTCACTCCACACTTCTCACTCTCGCCCCATGTTTTACATCTATTTCCAACTTATCTCCCTAAAACAAAGAAGGTGCTCACTGAAGATTTTGTTTCCCTCCTATTAGTTTGCTACTACAATACTAATAAAATAATGTTCACATCTCCATTATAATTTTCTATACCAAACTCTTTAAAATATCAACTTAACTACTCACTTCTGTCATCGGGTGACCTCTCTGAACCAGGCTCCACTTTGGTATCCAGAAGCTCTAGTGACGGCTGCGGAGAATGCTGGCCGACTCTGTCTCACTGTGTCTCAGTGTTTTAAAGTGTGGTCACTTTCCTCGTGACATTTTCTAATGTAGTTTTCATTCCTTGGCCACCTCTCTTGTAAAATGGCTGCTTTCTTGTCACTTGGGCTGCAAAGCAAATTTCCTTGTTTCCCCTGGATTTCAGAGCATTCTGGAATGCCTTTAGTAAAATTCTGAGTATGATGATCCTTCACTCGGGGGACACTGGTTCCCTCTTACACTTATCTCAGATAAGTCAGTACTATGCAACCCTCTAGACGGGGGGTCACAAAATTTTTCTGTAAAGGTTCAGATAGTAAATATTTTAGGCTTTATAGGACAAGTGAAAAATCAAGAAACATGTAAGTACTTATCTAACAAGAGGAAATGTTTTTCCTGCATTTTTTTCAAAATAGCGCTGCTGTGAACACTGGGATGCGTGTATCTTTTCAAATTAGAGTTCCTTCCAGATACACGCCCAGGAGTGGGTTTGCTGGGTCATAGGGTAAGTCTATGTTTAGTTTTTTGAGGAATCGCCATACTGTTTTCCATAATGGCGCACCAAACTACAGTCCCACTGACAGAATAGGAAGGTTCTCTTTCACGAACAAGATTTTAATTTGAGTATACCCATCGTGGGATGGCAGGTAGAATTCTGTTAGATTCTTCTGATGTTTGCCTTTTAGCTGTTGTTACATTGCAGATTCTGTTTTGTTTTGTTTTTGGCAGGGGGAAGGTAATTAGGTTTATTTTTTTTTTAAATGGAGGTTCTGGGATTGAACCCAGGACCTCGACCTCGTATATGCTAGGCATGCCCTCTACCACTACGCTTTACCCTCCCCCCCTTTTAAATGACCACACAAGGGGCAGAGTTTGATTAAAAAACAACTTCACATTTTATTTTATGGAATATGGTCACTTGTGGAGTTGAAGGCGTGAAGTCTAAGAATTGTTCTGACACAGGCTCTGAACAGAAAGCCCTCCTGTGCCCATGTTTAACGTCTAGTTTGTCAGTTTGTACATAAGACATCTTATCCCTCTGAAGATGCTTAACGACATTGGTAACTTGAAAAATTCTGCTGAAAAGCCCTATCTAGACAAAGTATAAGAATTTTACTGAATTGGTGTAGTGTAAGCTTAAAAATCACATATTCACAAAAAGAAGTTAGAGAAAGAGAAATTAAAATGCACTTATGTACATCTTTTTTGGCCACCTGAGTTCAGTTCAGGCATCCTTTCCCATAGAATGCAGAGAAGACACCCATGAGGCCACCCACTGCTGTTAAACTACTCGATGTCAGAATGTTTCCTCCGAAGGAGAATGCACTTAAGTTAGTAACATGCATAACATGTAAACAACCTTGAGTTAGAAAAGTCACTTTTTGGAAGGCACGGTTTGTCTGCAGCTCGACTGTGGAAATACTGATGTCTTAAGGACCCCACATAGCAAGGCCAAGTTTGTTGGTGTTGTCTTGTCTGGGAGCCCGTCCCACAGCCAAACCCAGCCCCGGCACCTTGGGGTCTCCCCGAGACATGCATCTGGAGGGCAGAGTGTTTTCTCTGACTACGATCATCACAGGCAGATTCTGGAGGGTCCTCAGGTGTTCCTTTGTTCTCTGAGGATGCGAGCAACTTCTCCATGAAAAAGCATCTGTAAGGGGCCCTCCCTGGGAGAGGGAGCAGGGCAAGGACCCAGTGCAAGGCTCACACAGGCCCCCTGCCCAGGCCTTAGGATAAGGGACGTGAGCAGGAACAGAACAAAGCATATGGGGCCCTGTCACAGGCCCGAGATGTGTCTAGAAAAGTGAGGGTCACGTGGGGAAAAAATGAGCAGTGACTGGCTCCATCAATCCAACAAAGGACGGGCAGGTACAGAAAATACAGCGTTACTTTGCTTGAAGTCAGTTAAATCACCGATCCCATCTCCCATCATGCAAGAGGAAGGGGACTTTGTGTATTTACCTGAAAATAAGCTCAGGTCTGAGGTCTATGGACTAATCTCCACACCTGCTGATGCTGGAGGGAGGTCAGACAGAACTCAGGCTGTGTGGCCTCACCCTTCTGAGCAGCCTTTCTGCTGAAAGCCCCATGGACTCTAGTGTGGGCTGGGCGTGTGTCTGGAAGTTTTCCTTCTTCTAGTTACTAAGGGAATTATCAGGACAAGGTCATGATTAGCGGATGTGGGCTCCAGTGACCTTCCATCGTGTCTCAGGGATGTGGCTCAGACCCCGAAGTGGCCAGAACTTGACAGAGCTGTGTCTGCCTGGGGAGGCCGTCAGTGTTTACAGGAAGGCCATTCATGCACTGTGGGATGGAACTTTATACCTGAGCTGCTACATACACACTGATGCATTCCTGCAGCCCTTTCAAGTATTTGCTTCACTGTTAAGGGACTTTGTTTATATGCTACTGAACCAGAGCAGTGAAGGCCACAGTGCCAGTGCCAGGTTTCAAGGTGAAAGGCATCATGGCTTTAGTTTCTAACCTAACCTGTCTTATTAAAATCAGTCTTGCTTTCACCATCTGCAAAATATATTAATTTGCTTTTAAAAAAGACTAGGGCCTTGTGGCTTCAACTACACAGTTGGTGGTACCAATGCAAAGAAATTCATTTAAGTACAGAAATCAATTTTAATTAGTGCTTTTAAATGATTCTCTTTTTGTAAATTGGGAGGAAAGAACAAGCTGGGCCAGTGGAAATGATAAGGTCTGGGCTTTTTGGAAAAAAAAAAAAGCCAAATCCTCCTATGCAAAGTCAGCATCTTTTGTGGAGTCCCAGCCCTAGAACTGGGTACCAGAGAACCGAGTGGGGAGTCAAAGCTTGTTGCTAGAAGTGTGAGAGAGAGTGGTTGGGAGTCCGGGACGGGGCCAACCCCAGGCACTGAATAAACGCTGCCAGACCAGGGGGCCTGGTCACGGTGACCTGAGAGTGGAGAGCTTGGTGGACCATGTCCATGTGATGCTCCAGCCCCATGCACTGCAGGCCCTGGTCCTCAGTCCCCAGTCCTTGGTCCCTGGTCGGCAGCCAGGCAGCCTCAGGCCAGGGGAAAGCCCGTTCCGGACCGTGGACAGAGTCCTGGGTGAGAGCGTAGGGGCCGCAGAGTTTACCCAGCTCCCTCCACCTTTCCAGACATCACAGTGACCAGTGCAGGTCTGCACCCCTCCTGCTAAAATAAAGCATGTGCCAAGGACAGAGGCCGGGAGCAGAAGAGGTGACCTCTGTCCATGAAATAGCCAAGAATGCCAGCACACTCCATTCTGAACCTAACGCTGTCCTTTCCCAAGGGCTTAGAGAATCACAATGTGCTCGGCGGTGGGGGGGCAGTGGGGAGAAAGGACCCCCCACATACAATCGGTCACATGGCCCTTAGTGCTCTGACCCATGGAAGGCCTGGGGACCAGAAGTAGGGCCAACAGGGAAATGGGCTGGTGGTTCCTGACGACTTCCACCCCTATCCTTCCATCTGCTCCCTCTCCCTCTCCAAGTGAGAAATGCAGGTCCTCTCTCCCACTCCAGCAGGCCGTCAGACGCCGGGGCAGGCACATGGGCCAGGCCGTTGGGCTCAGGCTGAAACTCCACGCACTCAGCTCAGAGGACTGAGAAACTGTCAGCCCTGAGAAAAGTGGGACGCGCGTCCTCTCCCAACAAAAGCTCTCGAGACCCACTCCGTGGTACTGTTTGCAAACACGTGTTAAATCACATACTAAAGTAAGAAACGGAATTCCTCGCGAATCTGGAAGATCTTCCGCATCTTTTCATCACGATGGAGTGGAATCCTCCTCTGTCTTCAAAGCTGCCGAACTTTTTTCTCTGTGCTTTTTATGTTGACATCTAGCTTGTCCACTTTGGTGGTGAGGCGGTCGAGAATGTCGTCCTGCTCCTCGATTTCCGTCTGCATTCCCAGGGCTATGTCCTTCAGCCGGCCCAGGCCCACGGACAGCTCATCTGCAGGAGAGGGGCGCACACATGGGCTGAGCACTCAGTCACAGCATTGCGACCCGCACCCTCCCCCCGACAAGGGGCTCCCCAGCACGAGGCTCCTGACTCCTCTTTCTCATATGACAAGCCAGACCCCAGGGCTTTGGTGACTTGTTCCAAAATATGTGCAAATGAAAAGAAAGTAATAAAGGCTTCATGTGTGAGCCGCTCCTTCTGCCGCCCCCCAACAGTAACCACTTAACAAGATGGTGTTTGTCCTTCCAGCATTTTTAAAAATTCAGAAGTCTGTATCATTTTCAGCTGCCTTTGAACCTTCAAGTAAGCTCCTGCACACTGCAAAGGCAGGTGGTACCCAGGAAAACAGTACAAAGGGTCCTGGAACACATGTTCCCTTCCTAGACCCCACAGTAAACTCTGGTCATGAACAGTCAGACTGCTGGCCTGTGCTTCCAGAGGGAAAGCCCCGCCAGTGGGCAGAACTCAGCAATGCCTGCTCTCCAGCCTCCCGGCTCCAGCTTCCCTAAGGCTGGATGAATCCCAGGTCCACAGTGGTGAGGATCCCCATCTGGAAACACCCGAGACAGACCTGGAAGCTCTGTCTAACAGGAGCCCTCAGAACAGGCTGCCACCCACCCACCTCTACTCTGCAAGCAGCATGAGAAATGCGGGCTCCATCCCTGTCCTGTCACCGGGGGTGCCCTCCCAGAAAACACAAGAACTACAGATGCTACCACTGAACCCAGAAGCCATGAAGTCCCCCAGCCTCTGTTATGAAAACTCACACTTTCCCACACTCATGCACGCCTGGCTACCACTCCCCAGGTGTGCAGACGCATAGATGCTGTGGGTGTTCTAGGGGATGATAGACAGCCCTGATCCCCCAAACCAGGTTGGACCATTTCCTTGGTTTACTTTGTGGTTGGGAAGATGGTGGCCTCTGTGCAAGTCGGGGGCACCGGCCCAGCAGCCCAGGGTCCCGTCTGGAGGAATAAATGACAGAAGGTGCTGCCGCCTCGGCTGAGTCCCAGGTAACTGAGTATGCTACTGCGGCAAAGGTCATGTGACTGTCACTGAACTTCAAGTCCAAACATGAGGAGTGAAAGCCCTCCCTGCACCCAGGGGAGGCAGGGAGGGGGTGGCGGGCTGGTATACATTCTGACCCCACTCTCAGGTGTGCTCTGCCTGCCCAGGACGGGATCACGGCCACGCTGCGTTCTGCCCATACCACTCAGACCACCTGGGCTGCGGGTCTCAGCCCCGCCAAACACCCTCAGCCCTGGGTCAGCAGGACGCGTTCTTCTTCCCGCCTCCCCCAAATCCCGGCCCCTCCCCCAGCAGCATGGGGACAGCCTTTCTCTGTGGCGGGGAAACCTCTGGTGGGGATGGATGGCTCCGTAAGCCTGTTTCTCTGCGGTGGTCAGATCCGGCAGTCACACCTCTGCCTGAGGTCTTTGGCTCCAGAGTCCAGAGGACAGAAGTGAGAGGTGGCCTCTGGGGTTTCCCTCAGCTCTTAGGGCAAAGGCCTGTCAAGTGTGGGGAGGGCTGGGGGCCCTGGCCACACAGGTCTTGTGCTAACGTTTGCCCCAAGGGCGGTGACGGTCACTGCGGGTGGCGGAATTCCAGTGCTTCTATATACGTGGTCTTGTTTGTGCCTACTCTCCAAAACCAATGTCTTATTTCTGTGAAGATTTCTTCCAGGGCTCAAAAGGAGACTCTTTTTCCTGACCCTGTAATTCCACTTCTAGCAATCTGTCCACAAAACATGGCCAGAGGCTTCCTTGTGGCAAACCACCTGTGTGTCTAACAGCAGGGCGTGGAGCTGCAAAGTTGGCTTTTCAGATACATTTTAGGAAAAAAGATTTAGGGAAAGTGGTATAAGTGAAGATACAACAAAAGTGAAAATATAAAAGTGATATGCAGTGAAATGATAAAAGATGTAAGTGAAAAGGCAGAATCCGGAAAACCTGACATCCTGCACACACATCCACGAGACACGGAAGGAGTGACACCAAATCAGTGGTTGCTGTTGGGCAGCAGGATTTTGGTGTCTGTTTCAGAGGCAGGTTCTGTCCCTGTGCCCAGCTCCCAGAGGGGAAGTGGGGGCTCTGTGAGGCCAGGCTGCAGTGTGTGACTCCCTAGCGATCCCTGTCACCACCCAGATGAGAGGTGAGGGTGGAGACAAGGGGACAGATTCCGGAGAGTGTTGGGGGTGGCGGAGGGGAGCAGGCAGACACCGGGTTTCGTAGTGGCTGGGCTGGGGCGGGGCCTCCCCAGGCTTACCGAGGTTGCTGTCGATCTTCTGGTGGTAGGCCCGAAGGTGCGGGTTCTTTGGGTAAGCCTCGGTACTCACGGCAGAACTGGCCCCACCGGGGACAGAGTCTGCGTTACAAAGAAACATCAGGAGACATGTTCACTGACATCCCTTGAAATGCTGCTTCACAAAATTAACCTTATTCTGATATGAAAGATCCAAATTCTAATTGTACTCCTTTGGTACGTTGGCTTTGTAACGGATTGAAGAAAAGGATCTATTGATATTCCTTTATTTGGGTTTATTTAGGCAAACGTAGATATGTGAACACAAAATAGTTAACAAAGCTTTTACCTATAGCTTTAAAATGAAATTAACTTCTCAATATTTTAAATAAAACAACATGTATCCTATCAAATTTATCATTTGAATAAGCTGTAATCATGTTTCTAAATAAATAATCACCTCCTAAAAAAGCCAAACCAACAGAAACCCTTAATCTGGAAAACAGGTGGAAGCGATAAAGTGGTACATCTGAAGCCACCGAGAGATGGGTGTGGGAGTGAGGAGCTCCGGGCAGGCCTGGTGGGAGAGAGAGGGGCAGCCCCTCGGAGATCAAAGCCCCCCAGTCTGCAGGTCACCCGGGCACACCTGGGCACACAAGCTGGGTTAAGAGACACACGCACCCCTGTGCTTGTACTGGTATGGAAGTGGAGCTGCAGCCACGTAGAGCTACACAGCCTCAGGGAAAAGAAATGTTAAATAAGACGCATTTGCCCCCAAGAAACCTTCCTGGAACTTCGGTTTCGGAATGCACACAGAGAAGCCGTGTCGTCCAGCTCACGTCCTCTGGGGAGCATCTCTTTTTCAACCTGGTGTGTTTCCTCCAGCATGACTTACACAAGCCCATACGGTGTCTCGTTTTGTTTTCGTTTTTTTCTGACTCTCTTAAGCTAATACAAGTTAAAACTCCCTTAGTTCCTAAAACTGCCCTTCAGGTGCAGGGCTCCTGCCCCACTTCCTCAGGGGAAGATAGGCTGGGCTGCCTGGCAGGCCTCGTACACTTCAGTTCTCACTTCCCTGGAGGCTTTCGCCTTCGCAGACTGAACTCCGTCCCTCTCTGGCTCCCCGTCCATCAGGCTGGCCCCCCTCGGCCGTGCCAACCAGCAGCAGTGGGCTCTGTGCTCCCCCAGGGCGGCACGGTAACCACCTGGTTACTTCTGACATGCCTGGCCTTCTAGGGGGTCTGTCTATACGAGCCCAAGGAGGTCTCAGTTCCTTCCCAGATACGGGATGAGTCTGGGCCAGTCATGTGACAGGAATGGGGTGATGTGACACAAAACACAGTCTGTCCCACCCTCCTGGCCCACGGCCTGTCCGCCCACTTGGGCTCAGCCTGCATCAGCTGCCCCTGTAGCTGGAACAAACTACCACAGATCACCCTTCAGTTCTGGAGGCCAGAAGTCCAACCCGGCCTCCCTGGGCTTTGACCCGGGTGTCTTCCTCCTGGAGGCTCTTAGGGAGAATCCGATTCCCACCTCTCCCGACTCCTGGAGGTCCAGCCTCCGCAGGTGGTCCTCCTCCGTCTCAGGGCGCGCAGGGCAGCACCTTCAGGTCTCTCACTCGGACACTCTCTCCTCTGCCCCCTTTCCACTCACATTGACTTCACTGGGTCCATGTGGAGGCCCCGGGATACTCTCCCTGTCCCAGGTCAGCTGGTCACCAACTGTAATTCCCTATGACCACGGTTCCCCCGTGCCACATAACCTGATGTATTTCTGGGGTCTGGGATTGGGACGGGGATGTCTCTGGGGGTCATCACCCTACTTACCATAGGTGCTTCCCTGCAAGTGGCTTTTCTCAGCTGGAAGAGCTCAGAGCTGCATGAAGCAGGCTCCCACCCCCTTATCCCTTTCTCTTCGGGGGAAGGAGGGCTGACACCACCATAAAGCACAGCTCTGGCTCCCTGAGAGGTGCTGCGCACCAACCCCATGGCCAGGTGTCCCCACAGAGCCCGGGTGTGGGCAGGAGCCAGGTCCCCACCGACCTGAGTCGTGCAGCCTCCTGAGGTTTGGGTGGCTGGCCTGGTACTGTGCCTCCTGGTCTTTACTCGAACTTATGGCTTCTTTCAATCTTTGGATAAAAGGCAAGGGAAAAAGAAAACTTTTAGACAGGAGGAACCCTTGTGATGGTGCAGTCAGCCTTCTCCAGCGATGCCCATGTGAGAAAGTCAAAGGCCTCCTGACCACATGGGGGTCTCACCAGCACCTCCCAGGAGTCCTGCGGGCCCCCATGAGCTTCTGGGTTAAATAAAAGAAGCAGGCTACAAAGCCAAATGAATACTCAGATTGCAATTATGAAAACACTGAATAAGAGGAACAACCAGAATTTTAAGTTTTCCTGTTACGGCAGGTAAGGTGTGGATTTTCTATAATACAGCTACATCGTTTTTACAGTAAAAACCAGACACTCTGATCTGAGATGAACAGCAGTCATCCGTTTCAGCAGAAACTCAATTCTTATCTTTGAACACATAACACCCAAATACCCACAAAATTGCATGTGTGATTTTGTTACTTCTCTAGCCATAACTTGAGGAAAATAATCTCTACCTTTAAAATGATGATCAATGGGTAAACTGGATTAGATATGGAAAAGTTGGACACAGACTTTAAGGCAAAAATTCTGTGAGGTGAGTTACACCTGTACTGATTTTCAGATCAGCAGAATGTGGAGACTGGAGAGCGACCACACCAACACAACCCAGAGCAGCGGAGAACATTTCTTGTTTCAAGTGTTTAAAGACAAATCCCCCCCAGTGAGTAACTTTCAGTGTCCCTGGGTCCCTTCAAGGCATGAGAGTCTGAGTCACTCTCACCCAGCCCCACTTTCTGCTCTTCCACATCCGGACGGCTGGGGGCCCGCTCACCTGCTGTTGGGCTGGGGAGCGAGGGTGCCATTCTGTTGGGGCGGGGTCTCCGCAGGCTTGGCTCTGAAGTAATTGACGAGCCCCCCGAACACGCTCTTGATGCTGCTGATGTGCTTCTGGCTGGCCTTCAGGTCCTGTTCCATCTTGTCCACCATCTTCTCCGTGCGCTCCAGGGCTCCTCGCTGCCGGATGAGCTCCTGGGGAGGAGAGGACGGCATGACTCTTCTGTAATTCCCCACCCCACTGAGAAGACAGGCAGGCTCCTGCGAGCCTTCAGCTGGCACACATGTGGACGACGCTGTCACCCGTGAACACGCATCCCTCTGTCTCTCCCTCCCTGCACTACCTGCCTGCTTTCTTTCCTATTTATTCTGGAGTCCCTCTCCCTCTGGTCATAGAGGCTGGCTCTCTGGACCACGCTGAGATGGATGGGGTCAGAATGCAGGCTTGGACTGGCGGCAGACTCCCTCCAGCTCCACCCCCCCACCTTGTCTCCCAAGCACTGGTGACCCTCCAGGGCTCTGACTTGGGCTGTGGTTCTTGGACTCTCCCTTTCAGATACGAGACTACCACTGAGCCACCTTAGTCACTGGCCCTGGTCAGGTCTTCAGACTCAGAGACTACATTCTGGTGTCCTTTCTGGGCCCTGTTAGTGTGTGATTCCAGCCAATCCACAGTTTCAGCTTTAAAACTGGTCACAAGGGCGACTCTGGCACAGGGCCTTTGCACATGCTACTTGCTCTGCCTGTAAAGCTCCTCACAGTTCTGCTCCTCCCTCATTTGATCTGGGTTTCTGTTCAGAGGTCACTTCCTCAGAGAAGCCTTCCCTGAGCACCTGTCCCAACGGAGAACTCCTCCCTCCCCCTTGCCTGCAGCACATGCTCCCTCAGGCAGGGAAGGACCGGCTCAGCTGGCTAAGCTACCTCCTCCAGTGTCCCCAGGGCAGCCTGGACCTGACTCTTTAACTATGGCAGTGCGAACGCCTTACTTTATTTGGGCCAAATCTGGTCCAATCCCAATTTCAGGCCATTCCAGCCATGTCCCCTCCCTGTGACCCCCCTACTCAGCCACAAGACCCCCAAGCTTCTCTTCTTCTACTCCAAGAGGCTGCCTTCTTTGCATCTCCGAAACCTGAATCTCCCTGTGGCTCATCATTACACTAATGATGCAGACAGTCATTAGAGATGCTCAACAAAGTCACAAACAATCTTGAACCAACAGCCTGAATGGAGATTTGAGGATAAACGAATCTACACATAGAGGGTTTGCTGGAGCCCATTTTAGATATAAATGTGTTAACAGAAGGCTTTTAGGGCACTTAGGAACTCAATATATAACTTTAATTCTGAATGTTTAGTGAGTGAAGTTTAAAAATATAACGTACAGACACATAGCTACAACGTTGGCTGAACTCTAGTTGGACATACACTAAGGACTGCCAAGCTTTACAGCTTTGGATGTTTAAATGTTTTTCACCAGCTCATGACACAGGTCTGAAGAAACCATCAGGCTTTTCTGAGCAAAAAAGAAAAAAATTGTCCTTTAATATGTCAAGCAAATCTTGCAAAGGCTAATTTTTAGGAGGAGGAGTAAGAGTTGCTAATTGAATAGAGCTCCGGGTACAGGGGTCAACCCAAGTCTCTGCCCTGAGGGCATCGCCAGCCTGGCAGGGCAGACGGGGGTGAGAGGACAGGAGATGGCTGAGGCCGGTCTGATTTCTCCCGTGCTGACACCTGGCAGCACTGGGAACCCAGGGGAGGCAGAGGGCCCTTGTGGCACTGAGCCCACGGCCCTATGGGGAGACAAACACAAGCATCTCTCTCACACACACACACACACACACACACACACACACGGCCACACCCCCTGACAAAGCCAGCCCCCCAAGGATTTCATGTCTGCCTGGGGCAGGGGTCGGGGACTCCCTGATGGGGTGAGAAACTGAAAGTGGAACAGTCAGGAGTCACAGGCCAGGTGGGGCCAGAGCATCCAGGCAGATGGAGCAGTGGGCCGGGGGCAGTGGGTGAGAGGAACTGCGTGGAGAGCAGGATGGGGAGTGGGTGAAGATGCCAGGCGGCAGGGCCACCGGCCCCAACCCACTGCAGAGCCTGGTGTCTCCCAGGGCGTGTGCAGGCTGACCGGCACGGCTGACTCAGCAGGCCTGGGCTGCCCACACCCCGTGTTCCCAGGAAAGGCCTTGTCCAGCTCCTTGCCCTTGGATTATCCTGATAAGAGTGACTTTGCTTCTCTGAATCCTGAGGCCAGCCTGACAGTCTACGTCAGCCATGTGACTTATGACGGGGCCTTGGGCCACATGGCATGACCTCTGCAGGGGCTGGAGAGGACTCGGGTCAGCCAGGCGGGTAGCTGTGCCTCGTGGCTGACCCCCTACTTGGGCGAGCTTCTCTGGTGGACAAGTCCCTGCGTGCTGTCACACATCACCGCTGGGAGAAGTATGCATGGCCCACACTACTCCCCGGGGGAGGACGATGGGAGGCCTGTGCTGCTCCCCTGGGCCCTGCCCACCATCCCTGCACCTCGGATGACAAAAATCTGTATCCTTTCACTGTAACAAACCATAACCACGAGTGTAACAGCCCTACCCGGTTCTATAATTCCTTCTAGAATCATTAAGCCTGAGGGTGGTCTTGGGGACTCCCAAACACGACCTTTAAACAGCAGTCTCACTCTCAGAACCACCACCAGGAGGCAGATGCTGGAGAACAGACAGCCCCTCGGCCTCCCCAGCACATCATCTGGTCAGGAGAGCAAGGTCCCCCTGGACACCATGGCAGCCACGGGTGGACATTTCAGGAAGGAACAGCAGACGTGGCCACATGCCACAGGGCCAGGGTGGGATGTCTGACCTGCCTGGACAGTAACAACCCAACCTTGAAAGGTGCCTTGTTACAGCTACAGGGCCAGCAAATGTGATCCCGGAACTTCTCAATAGTTGAATTCAATCACTGATGGTTTACAAAAAACCAAAAAGAATAAATCCAGAGCAGACCTATTTCATCCAGAGCCACAAAGCTTGATTCCTTCTCCCACCACATCCCCTGTCCATTTCCAATCAATCCTCTCCTCAACCCCTTCCCTTCCCATGCTGGGTCACTCAGTCACTTGACTCTCCCTATCCCTTCCCTTCCCATCCCAGGTCAGTCAGTCACTTGCCAGCCACTAGAGGAGCACTGTGCTGAGAAGCGCCAGGGCAGAAGGCTGAGCAGGAGACGGCTCCTCCTGCAAAGCTGTCCACAGGGAGTTACTTTATCAAGCAGAGGTCTGCCCACTTCCATCAGCCTTTGCTTCAGGAGAGGTGTGTGCTGAGAACTCTGGCTGCAGCAAACCCAGTGGGGCTGCCTTGGAGGGGAGGCTCTGGTCAGTACAGCTGCCACTGGAGAGGGGAAGGCTCCGCCCCAAGACCAGCCGCGCAGAGGACATCCTCACTGCCCTAGCCATGGGGACACCCTACAAAGACAGCTGCGATGGCCTCTGTTCCTGGGCTGGAAAAGGCTCCTTTGAACCGAACGCCCAAAAGGGCTTCAGTGACTGCTGAGTGCTGGAAAGACGCCAACAAGGTGAGAGGCCCTGCACGCAAGGCTGAGTCCCTGAGATTCTCTTTCTGGAGGTGCTGCTGCGCCGGCCGCGCAGGGGCCGGGGCCTGACATTTATTGTCAGCGTCCCTGTACTGAGATCCCAGGCCTCCCAAGACATCCCTGGTGCGTGCTCAGCAGCCAGAGGGGATGAGGGGTGCCCTGGGCAGGCAGTCTCTCTGGTTAAGGCCGTGAACGGGGGCACAAAGACCACATCCTAGTGGGACGCAAACAGGCTCGCCCAGTACATGGGGACTGGCTGCAGAAATGAAGCCATCCACTCAGGGAAATGAGACACAGCCATAGAAAAAGAAACAGCGGCACCCTTGCCCCCCCACCCGTGTGTTGCTATGAGATGCTCTCCAATCCCAGCAAGCAACGTGTGTCTGGGAGGTACAGGATGCTTTCGCTTAAGTTAAAGTTAAAAAAGAAAGACAATCAGTATGTCTTTACACACAGCGGATCTCCACGACGACATTGAAGGAAGGGACGCAGCAGGCTGCAGGGGGTGGGCGGGAGGCCTGAAAAGCCCATGGGGTGGGGGAAGCCTGTACAGCCTGGGGGCGGGGCTAGGGGAGCCTGCACAGCCTTCTGATGTTCTGAATTTTGAACCCTGTGACTGGAGTATCGTTTCACAAAAACTAAACTTTGTGAAAAAGAAGTAACAAGTCACCTGGGAAACAGAAACGGCCAGGCGTGACCTGCTCTGCCCTGACCACCTCTCCTCTGGGCTCTGGGGTCAGGACTTGAGGCGAGAGCCTTCCTGAGATGTGAACCTTGCAGGTTTCACTGGAGAAGGGCAGCTCTCAAGTGCTAGAGATGAGGAGACTAAGTAAGACTGCTGCCAAGCTGGGATTTATAGTGACCTTTCCGACCTAGTGTTACCTGAGAAGTCCTAATCCTCTATAAAAAGTGGGTCCTGTTTTGACACATCTCAGCGCTGGGTATCTGGTGGGCACCTGTCTAGGTTGGGAGGTTAGTTTAGTGGGCGACTTGGGCCTGTCAGGTCCGAACTCACCTGCCCCCACCCCCCAACTCTGAGGGGTGGAGCCAGATGGGTGGGTGTGATGAGATGGATTCAGACAATTTGGAGAGCACAGGGTGGGGTGAGTTGCTGACCATTCCTGCCTTCCCAGGGCCGTGGATAATTAAGAAGTGATTCAACCCTGGAAAAATCCAGTGCATAATCATGCTGATGACAGTCTGTCACCTGCTCAGCCATAATCATCCTGCACCTTTTAGAGCAACACCTGGCACAGCCATGTCAAGCCTCACGGCCTGAGGTGTCCCTCTGTCTCTGCTCTCCCAGTCCCCACTGCATAGAGAGAAGGACTTTTGGGGGCAGCATGGGGCTTTCACCACAATTTGTATGAAACAATTCCATCTGCCATGTCTCTGGTGCTCCTGACCATGCTGGGTCCTCCTTCAGGCCCTTTCTGGGAAGGCTTCCTGGGCATCACTTCCTGCTCAGAAGTCCAGGAGCTGTGGCGCTGGGCCAATGCCTCTGTGTGCCTCCTTTCTTGCCTGGGAACATACCTCCTCCTCCTCTTCCTCACACTTATCTACACCTTAGCCTTAAAAGCCAGATCTCAATTTCTCCTCTGCCATGATATCCTACTCTGTCATTCTCATTTTCTTCTTCGTTTGTTCTGTTTCCAAAGATGTCTTTTCAAAACTATTTTTAGTGGTCCATGAATGACTGAAAAATTGTGCTGAACACTGGAATTTGACACAACATTGTAAAATGATTATAAATCAATAAAAAATGTTTAAAAAAACATTTTTAGTGGGCTTCCTTGGGCCTAGGACCCTTAGCCAAATGAACCCTCCACCTTTGCCCTAAGACCACAGGCAATCCTCCCAAATCTAAGGCAAAACCTTTCACTGGGGGACTCATAGGAATCTGACAGACACAAGCTAAACTTCCTCAATGAGGCTAAAGATGGAAGATGGGCCAATGATGGATGTTGTAACAGGGAGAGGTGGGGAGGGGGGACAACCCAAGAAAGTGGCAACGGGCAGTACTAAGATGTATCTCAAAACTGTCCAAGACCGTGTGGTCAGAGTGAACTTTGCCAGAGAAAAGAATTACGAAGCAGGGAGGGTACAGCTCAGTGGTAAAGTGCATCTGTAGCAGGCATGAGGTCCTGGGTTCAATCCCCAGTACCTCTGTAAATATATAGACAAACAAACAAACCTAATTACTACCCCCTGAAAAAAAACTATGAAGCAACCCCCGGAGGACAACCTTTTAGCTTCCAGAACTACAAATGTTTATGACAAATCGTTCTAAGCCTATATAGCAGTAATGCACAATTACATTTTTTAAAACTTAAAAAGATAATGCCTAAACAAAACTGTTTCATTGGTAAGCTGAGATGATCTGGTGCCAAAGAGGGAACAATCCTCATTTAAGGTCTGAGTCTCTGAGATCGTCTAAGGATGAAAAGAAGACTAGACAAAGGTGAGCCGGAAAAACAGACTGTCACAGACCGCAGACTTTCTGTCTTGGACATTTTCATTTGGATTTGGGAAGGAAAGGGAAGGCCCTGGGCCCGACCAGACTCCAGCTCTGGCTCACTCAGCAGCCCTCCAGGCAGACAAGACTTCAACACCCCTTCTGCCGAAGGGGAGAAGCGGTCAATGCCGGGGAAGAACTCAGGGCCCACTTGCTCGGAGGCACGCAGTCCCCGCTGGGTCACTCCAGGAGGAGCGGCTGAAGCCCTGGGGCCAGGCTTCCGGCCACTTGATCGTGTAAAAGAGGCTGACTCTCCACTTCCCAAGTCCGGGCTCTGCTGTCCACAATCTTCACTTACCTGGATAGCACACGGCGTGGGGATGACCTATGAACCAGGAGTAGAAGAAACAACCAGCTAAGGGGACTAACGGCTCGGAGACGGCCGGGGGCTGATGGCCTGTTTCGAGTACTGAAGACCACACTTCTACGTAGCTGACAAAGTATCACAAGCCTTGAAGTCATTAAAGCACGAGACCCCATCCTGGTTTACCGGACGACCCCCGAGGAACCTCGGGGGACGGGCGCGCTCACCTCGGAAGAGGCGACCCCGATCCTCTCGGACTCGTACATGAGGGACAGGGACCTGCCGGTGCTGGAGGCCGTGGCCTCGGCGCGGCGCAGCACCTCCTGCCGCAGGGCC